CTTCTCTGCAACTGAGCTGAGATCTCAAAATAGGCAATGTCAAGATGGAACCAGAAGGGAAAAACAGCATGTGTAGAGAGGTAGCGACAAAAGGCTAATTAAAGACGGAAAGAAACCAGGGTGGCCAACAAGGGAATCTAAGGGTGATAAAGATAAGAGGCTGAGAGAGATAAGGCTAGACTGCATAAGGCTTGACAGACCATAGCAAGATAAGCAAGAACTGTGTCCTGTTAACCATTTATCCCTAACATCCAGCATAGAATTCAGTTAATAAAAGCCATAAACCCTTTAAAAAGGGTGTGAGTCTTCTGGCAAGATAAGTAATTAGCACAGATTATTGTCACTCACTGCAACTCAGCCTTGGAGGGAGTACACAAATCAGAAGGAGGTCAAGTGCCTGGAAAACTAAATGACAGTGCCTGGAAGAACAGATCGTGGTTGGGGTAAGAAAAGGAAGCCCAGTGTAGAAAAGGATAGAATGCCATGGGGTTAGAGGTAGCAGAGGCTGGGACAGAACTTGTCTGTTCTGCCTCCTTTCACTCCTCCTGTTCTTTGCCTTACGTCCAACCCATCACTTGCTGGGGTAGCCAGCCTATTTGAACAGGTTTAGACAACCCTAGAGTTCTCTCCAAGAGAATTAATACTGAGAAGGAGAAGTTCTACCATTGTCACTCTGGTGAAGCACAGATTCTAACTCAGAGGCTCTTTGCCTTGAGGGGGATCTTTCCTCTCCTTCAACTCATCAGAACCCTTAGTTCTGGGCTTGGCTTCTCCCTTTTAGCAGCTGATAATGAAATCCCTATCCCCATGGCCGGGCGCAGCGGCTCATGCCTGTAATCCCAGCACTTTGGGAGGCCAAGGCAGGCGGATTACGAGGTCAGGAGATCGAGACCATCCTGGCTAACACAGTGAAACCCTGTCTCTACTAAAGAATACAAAAAAAATTAGCCGGGCATAGTGGCAAGCGCCTATAGTCCTAGCTACTCGGGAGGCTGAGGCAGGAGAATGGCATGAACCCGGGAGGCAGAGCTTGCAGTGAGCCAAGATTGAACCACTGCACTCCAGCCTGGGTGACAGAGCGAGACTCTCTCTCTCAAAAAAAAAAAAAAAAAAAAAAAGAAATCCCCATCCTCTACTATAAGCTTATGGGGTGAAAATCAGCCATATAAGGACTACAGCATCCACTCTCAAAGACAACAGGCTCAACCACTAATCTCTACATGACAGAATAAACTAAGACCACAGAATGAAAATGGAATGTTTAAAGAATTTAGGAGGCAGTCGGGCCCAGTGGCTTGCGCCTGTAATCCCAGCTACTCGGGAGGCTGAGGCAGGAGAATCACTTGAACCCGGGAGGCGGAGGTTGCAGTAAGCTGAGATTGAGCCATTGCACTCCAGCCTGGATGACAGAGATTCCATCTCAAATAAAAACAAACAAAAAAAACAAAACAAAACTGTCAAGGTCATTAAAAACAAGTCTAAGAAGCTGTCATGGCCAACAGGAGCCTAAGTGTAATGTGGTATCTTCAGTGGGATCCTGGAACAGACAAAACATATTACATAAAAACTAATGAAATCTGAACAAAGTATGGACTTTAGTTAATACTAATGTATCAATATTAGCCCATTTAATTGTGACAACCATAATATACCAATGTAAGATGTTATTAGGGGAAACTGGGTAGGTATATATGGGAACTCTTTGTACCATCTTCCCAACTTTTCTATAAATCTAAAAGTATTGTGAAATAAAATAAAATTTGAAGTCCTTTTTACTGTGCTTTCCCAATGAGTATATCACCCTTAAGAAGCAGCACAGAACATTCTTACACCCTAAAGGGCCTTTACTGGAGGGCAAGAAAGGCCAAATAAGTAACAAGGACTCCTCTGAACAAGCCCTAGGCTACTAAACTGAAAAATTAATGACTCAGCAAGTTGGCTCATTATAAGTGTTCCTAAATAGCATTAAGGATAAAGATGTTGCTAAGCAGAGATTTTTAAGTTATTACAGTTAATTTGTTAATTCAGTGAAATTGTTTTTCAAGAGTACATTGACAGGTCCATTAACTCGAGCTGTTCACAAAGCCCTAATTAAGAAACAACATTCACAGGAGTCATTGTCACTCTTTTTAAGTTCTTAATTAGTAGCTCTTAGCATGGTGTTTTCCTTTGTGTGAATTCCTAGGCACTTAGCCATCTCTTTGTGTCCCTTTGGGACTTGCAGAATTTATCCCTTTGGGTTTTGCTTTACTGGTTGAAATTTGAGTGAGACATGATCTAAAATTTCAACATAAAATCCCACTGACACTAGCTTGTTTCAACCCAGCAAGTGCAATCATGGACAGGTGCCAGGAATAGTGTTTATTAATTGTGGTTCCCTCATTTTTTTAAATTCAAGGTTGGTGGGGGTGTTTGGAAACCCTCATTTTTAGTTTTTCCTCTTAATATGGTACAGGCCTAAGACCTGAAACTTGGCCTAAGGAATGAAAAGAGGCACTTGTGTTTACTACTACCTATGGCAGCTGGCAGCCTGGGTATTTACAGACCAGTAACCCTGCCAGTCTCATTCCAGTTTCCATTGCAGCACGGGAAAAGATTAACAGAAAAAAACTACTTCGTCTTGGTGTGGTAGCTCACACCTGTAACCCCAGCACTTTGGGAGGCTGAGGCGGGTGGATCACCTGAGGTAAGGAGTTTGAGACCAGCCTGGCCGACGTGGCGTGGCAAAACCCCATCTCTACTAAAAATACAAAAAAACATTTAGTCAGGTGTGGTGGCGTGTGACTATAGTCCCAGCTACTTGGGTGGCTGAGGCAGGAGAATTGCTTGAACCTAGGAGGAGGAGAAGGTTGTAGTGAGCTGAGATTGTGCCACCGCACTCCAGCCTGGGCAACAGAACAAGGCATCGTCTCAAAAAAAAAAAAAAAAAAAAAAAAAGAAAAAAAAACCTACTTTGAGGCCAGGCACAGTGACACCTGTAATCTTAGCTACTCAGGAGGCTGAGTCAGGGGGATCACGTGAGCCCAGAAAGTTGAGGCTGCAGTGAGCTGTGATCATGCCACTGCACACCAGCCTGAGTGAGACCCTGTCTCTAAAAAAAATAAGTAACTACTTTGAAGCCAGGCATGGTAGCATGTGCCTATAGTCCCAGCTACTTGGGAGGCTGAGGCAGGAGGTTTGCTTGGCCCAGGAAGTCGAGGGTGCAGTGAGCTGTGATTGTGCCACTGCACACCAGGCCGGATGACACAATTGAGACCCTGTATCAAAAAAGATTTTAAAAACTACTCTGAAATGTTTTACTAATCTTCTTAGACTCACCAGGAAATAAATTTCTTTGCTTAAAAAAAAAAAAACAAGTCAAGAGGGATATGTAGGTGAATAATTAACTTTATTTATCAAGTAGGAAATCCCATCAAATTATTTAAATGCACATGACTACACCATTGATGCCTTTTGGGATATTGAATACAGGAACAGAAATACCAATTATTTCTCTCTTTTTAAGTAGCAAAATAGGAACCTCTCTCTGCTCATGGATAGCCCTACTATAGTCAGGAAAACAACCTGTATGCTTAGAACTTGAGGACTCAGATTTAAAATACTGTAACTCTTCATAACACAAAATTTTCCTCTTTCCTTAGGAGCCATTTTGGTTTTACCAACTTGGACTGAGATTGTGGCTGAATTTGAGAAGTGCAGACTGCTATTCTTTCTTAAGACTTCTCCCTTTGGAGCACATTAAAAATGGAGAAAACTGGTATAAGTAACCCATGCAAAAAAACACAAATCCCAAACACACAAAAACAGACTATTTTTACTCTGGTTAATTTCTTGCAGTCACCTTAGTGCCCTAAAAGATGAAGAGTATAGGCCGGGCGCGGTGGCTCAAGCCTGTAATCCCAGCACTTTGGGAGGCCGAGACGGGTGGATCATGAGGTCAGGAGATCGAGACCATCCTGGCTAACACGGTGAAACCCCGTCTCTACTAAAAAATACAAAAAAAAAAAAAAAACTAGCCGGGTGAGGTGGCGGGCGCCTGTAGCCCCAGCTACTCGGGAAGCTGAGGCAGGAGAATGGCGTAAACCCGAGAGGCGGAGCTTGCAGTGAGCTGAGATCCGGCCACTGCACTCCAGCCTGGGAGACAGAGCGAGACTCCGTCTCAAAAAAAAAAAAAAAAAAAAAAAAAAAAAGATGAAGAGTATAACATTCTAAGGCAAAGCTATTGATAACGTTAAATTTTTCAGGGAGTCATGTTGCTACTGGCTCTGAACCTGTCACTAATGAGCTGTTCAACTTTCAAGGCCTGAATTTCATTCTCTAGGACAGAGGTTGGCAAACCATAGCCCGAGGGCCAATTCCAGCCTGTTTTATATGGCTCTCAAAATAAGAATGGTCTTTAAATTTGTAAATCATTGAAAAACATTTTGACACTGAAAATTTTATGAAATTCCAATTCAATGTCCATAAACAATGTTCTATTAGAACTACAGACTTGTTACTGTCTAAGGCTGTGTTTGCACTAGAGCTGCAAACATAGTTGCAAAAACCACATGGCTGAACAAATGTAATATTATCTGGCCCTTTACAGCAAGTTTGCTGATCCCTGCTTTTGAACAGCAGTGCATAATAAACTTTCTGAATTGGTGGAAATGTTGTCTGAGTTTTCCAGTAGGGTAGTCAGCAGCGAAACAGATTCTGAGATTAAGAAATTGATAAATTTTTATCAACTTACACAGCCACATGTAGCATATAGCTACTGCACAGCAGAGCTCTAGAAAATAAGGGTTGGACTTTAGATTCTAAGAATTCTCTAAAATTCTGATACTTGGCCGGGCGCAGTGGCTTATGCCTGTACTCCCAGTACTTTAGGAGGCCAAGGCAGGTGGATCACGAGGTCAGGAGTTCGAGACCAGCCTGACCAACATGGTGAAACCCCATCTCCACTAAAAATACAAAAATTAGCTGGGTGTGGTGGTGCGCGCCTATAATCCCAGCTACTCAGGAGGCCGAGGCAGGAGAATCGATTGAACCCAGGAGGTAGAGGTTGCAGTAAGCCAAGATCGCACCATTGCACTCCAGCCTGGGTGACAGAGTGAGACTCTGTCTCAAAAAACAAACAAAAAAACCCTGTAATTCCAGCATTTTGGGAGGCCGAGGCAGGCAAATCACAAGGTCAGGAGTTTGAGACCAGCCTGGCCAATATGGTGAAACCCCCATCTCTACTTAAAATAAAAAAATTAGCCTGGCATGGTGGCAGGTGCCTGTAGTCCTAGCTACTTGGGAGACTGAGGCAGAAGAATCGCTTAAACCCGGGAGGCGGAGGTTGCAGTGAGCCGAGATCGAGCCACTGCACTCCAGCCTGGGCAACAGAGCAAGACTCCGTCTCAAAAAAAAGAAAAAAAAAAAAAGAAAAAAAAATTCTGATACTCTACATAATTTTTCAAATCATAATTTTAAGCACCCTACCCCCGTCTGAGCTGCAGTAATTTAATTGGAACCTACATGACAAGAAGACTACATATATTACTTATCTTGGTGTCACACAGGGCTGTCAGACATCTGGGGTCGTGATGGGGGTAGATGATATTCAGGTGAAGGCATCTAGGATTCAAAGAGGTAAAGAATGACAGGCTGTCCCTAAGACAGGGTCCTTTTTCTAACAGAAAAAAATTGTTTGCACCCAGACTAGGACCAACTCCACAGGAGGAGTCATTCCACTCTCAGAGGTGCAAAACACTGCCCAAAGGTACTCAGCTACAACACCAAAACAGTGCTTGGAGCCAAACCTCAATAAAGACAGTGCTTGCTCTTCCAACAGTGTAACACCATCACAGGCACCACACAAGCCTGGATAGCTGACAACCGCTGGATGATTCCTGAAACAGCTTTCTCATTGTTTCAGATACCTAGACACTCCAGGTAGAAGACCTATTAGTCGAATGTTGGCTGCAAAACAGGCATGGAAGCACTGATTGCAGACCCTGTTGTCAAACTCTTTAACAGGAATCCCCTTCCATGTTTTCAGTTGTTTTATCCAACATTCAGGGAGTTCCTGCCATGTGCCAAGCACTGTGATTGGGATCTAGCAGTGAATAAAACAAGATATACTGTCCTTTCCTTCATGGATCTTACAAATATAGGTTAATTTACCTCTCAATTGTTTCCTGATAGATACCAACTAGCCAACAGGCCTGGCACAGAGGAGGTAGTCAATGTTGGAATGAACAGGGATATTTACCTGAAAACTGCACATGCAGACTGTCACCTGCCACTGTTTCCTCTCTTCAGATGGGTGAAGGATGCCCTACTTTCAAGTCATCCTAAAAAGGAAGACAAGCAAACTTAGTGATCTAGTACACAGAACGGTGAATAAATAGCAATGCATTGTATATATATATATTTTTTGAGATAGGGTCTCACTCTGTCTAGGCTGGAGTGCAGTGGCATGACCATGGTTCACTGTAGTTTCAATCTCCTGGGTCAAGTGATCCTCCCAGCTTAGCCTCCCAAGCAGCTGGGACTACAGATGCATGCCAACACACCCACCTAATTCCTTTTTTGTTTTTTATATTCCCGATGAATTTGAATGTTTGGCACCCCGGTCTAAAACAACAGCTCCTAAGTACCCTTATCTGGAGAGATGGAAACAGAATGCTGCTTGCCATTTATGATTTATCCTCATTTCTACAGCCTCAGGAATTATTTTATTTACCATTATTTGCCTTTTCCCTGCCTAGAGTACTATAAAGCTAACCATCCCCCAAGCCCTACAGATATCACTAGCCTTAAGACCCCATATGTAAAAGGCTATTCACAGTTGAGGCATTCACACAAAGCACTCATATTTAGTTGAGAGAATCCTATTAAGGGAATGCCAACTGATCTAACAAAACAAGCTTTGATAAACAACTCCCCTGCCCCCCAACATCCTCCCCAGTTCCTCCTGTGGAAACTAGGATGTCACTTTTCATAGCAACTGAGGGTCATCTCTTCTCAAAAGAACCTCTTCTCAAAAAATTAGCATTCCAGGCCAGGCATGGTGCAGTGGCTCATGCCTGTAACCCCAGCACTTTAGGAGGCAGGAGGATCACTTGAGCCCAGGAGTTCGAGACCAGCCTGGACAACATGGTGAAATCCCGTCTCTACTAAAGCCTGGGCAACATAATGAGACTTTGTCTCTACAACTTAAAAAAACAAACAAACAAAAAATTAGCTGGTTGTGGTGGCACACACCTATCATCCCAACCACTTGGGAAAAAGCATTCCAAAACAAAATTACTACAAAGGGAACTCAATAATGGGGCAACAATTATAAAAGGAACTCACTTCAATGGGGCAACAACTATTCATTTCTGAAAATCAGTAAGCAACTAAAGCGAATATACTGTCAGCCCAAAGGAGAAATTAGTGTGGTTGTAGTTGTTCAGTTCCCAGAGCCCCCTCAATCGATATTTTAATATTTTACTAAAGAGCTAGAGAATGCCCATAATTTTAAAGTGAATTCCCATCAATGTTTCCCTAATAGGGAATCCCATAGATAACTATGGTTGTAAAATCCTCTACAAAGGGAAACATGACTAGCTTTTATGGTGGGTAGTGGGAGCTACGTACTTTAATTTCAGCGAAATTAGCAAAAATCCCATTGTATCTGGCCCCCTTTGAGCACTTAGTAGGCACTAAACATAAAGGTGTGACTTTTCCGTCTATTTTTACCAACCCCCTCTTCCCATTAGCTTTGTTTTATTTCCAAGGTATGATTCAAGTAACTTCTTGCTACCCAAACCTGTTGGACCAGAACTATTCAGGAAGGTCTGGATTTATTCTCTCTGCAAAAAGTCATGCTCTCACAGATTAAACCTTAATGCAAGCTTTTCCAACCCGCAGCCCAACACAAATTGGTAAACTTTCTTAACACATTATGAGGGTGGTTTTTTTTTTGCAATATTTTTTAAATTTAGCCATCAGTTATCGTTAGTGTTACTATATTTTATGTGTGACCTAAGACAATTCTTATCCTTCCAATGTGGCACAGGGAAGCCAAAAAACACCCCTGCCTTGATGGATAAGCAACTATGCTGGCATCCTGGGGTAGTCAACACAGAGTTGGCACGAACCAGGGCCAGAATGCCAACCAGCTATTGGCTGCTGTTCTCCCAGCAGTGTAACACTTGCCTAGGTACAAGACAACCTAGGCAGCTGCCTACAGCTGGAGCCAAGAGAGCTGAAGGGATTGCACTCACCTGCAGTTGCATCTGCCACAGCTGGCCTCTCTGCAATGAAACAACTCCAGGTTAGTCAGCCAACAGTGAACACGTGTGCAGCTCAGAGTCCTTGCCCTCAAAACGTGGTATCTTAGGCCTGAGCCACAGAAACAACAGCAGACAATAAAACCAATAGCTTATCCTTGTTTAGCTTTGTTTTCACCTCTTGTTACTTATACACCACGGCAGTTCAACAGTAGCAAAAGAGTCGATTAAACAAGTATCGGGGAGCCTAACTAGTGTCTAGCCAAATGACACTGGGCGAGTAACCTCTCTATACCTCAGCCTCCTCATTTGTAGAATGGAGATATTATATTACAGGGTCTTTCTCTGTCACCCAGGCTGGAGTGCAATGGCACAATCATGGCTCACTGCAGCCTCCACTTCCTGGGCTCAAGTGATTCTCCCACCTCAGCCTCCTGAGTGAGTAGCTGGGACTACAGGTGCGAATACACCAAGCCGAATGGGGATATTACTAATAGTACTCTGTACGTAGGGTGGTTGGGAGGCTTAAGTGATATAAGCTAACCCCCAGGATAATGTCCGGTATAGTGTGGGCACTCTGTAAACACCTGAGGAGCTACATTCCAAAAAAGGCTCAGATGGTGAATATGAGTGAGTAAAAAGGGAAAAGTTATCCAGTGAGAGAAATGGGCAGTGAAGAGTGGGAAAACTAGATAGTCCAATATAGGACTTCCTGAAAGACAATAAAAACAGCACTTAGAAAAATAACTGCAGTATTGGATATGAGGGGAATTGGAGGCAGTAGTCATGCCAAGACCTCAACTACTGATTAAGAGCAATAACCAAAACGTTAGGCCGGCGCGGTGGCTCACACCTGTAATCCCAGCACTTTAGGAGGCCGAGGTGGGCGGATCACGAGGTCAGGAGATAGAGACCTGGCTAACACGGTGAAACCCCGTCTCTACTAAAAATACGAAAAATTAGCCGGGCGTGGTGGCGGGCGCCTGTAGTCCCAGCTACTCGGAGCCTGAGGCAGGAGAATGTCGTGAACCCGGGAGGCGGAGCTTGCAGTGAGCCGAGATCTTGCCACTGCACTCCAGCCTGGGTGACAGAGCGACACTCCGTCTCAAAAAAAAATAAATAACCAAAATGTTTGCACAAATGATAATAAATATTTCTACATAGTCACTATTTTTTTTTTTTTTTAACGGAGTCTTGCTCTGTTACCAGGCTGGAGTGCAGTGGTGCTATCTCGGCTCACTGCAACCTCCGCCTCCCGGGTTCAAGCGATTCTCCTAAGTTTTGTATTTTTAGTAGAGACGGGGTTTCACCGTGTTGGCCAGGACGGTCTTCATCTCTTGACCTCGTGATCCGCCCGCCTGATCCGTGGGCCTCCCAAAGTGCTGAGATTACAGGCGTGAGCCACTGTGCCCGGCCTCACAGTCACCATTATAATTTATGTAAGGCTAAGATCATACCTTTTTCCAGCCATCCCCAAATTTCACTCCTAACTTCCTCCAAATAATTTAGAGGAACAGTAAAATGAGTAGAGAGGGTTCATTGTTCGCTGGGTCTAAAAACAGATCTAAAAATAGCGTGCCCCTTTCAAGGCTCAGGTTAAAGGGGCTGACTCAGTTCCACCGGACATTTGTTCCTCACAAACCTTCCAAAGTCCTTGCCCCTGGCACTGGGAGATGGAGGCTGTCAGAGTCAGGCTGTAGGGGACTCCCTAGGGAGAAGAGGGACGGTACAAAAACAGGGGACGACTCCGGGACCCAGGTCTCTTTCCGATGCCCTCCAAGTTCGGGGTCACAAGGGGACGAACCCCAATTTCATCCCGTGCCCCGGCAGAAGCCACCCTACATTGCTTCTTTCCCCAGGCTGGGAAACCTCCAAGGACTCTCCCCTCGGGGTCCTTACTCACGCGCACGTGTTCGGAGCTCCGCAGGGCGCAGCAGCACCGGCAGAGGCCGGAGGGGAAAGGGCAGCCGGGAGCCGAGGGGAGCCCCGCCCCGGGGCGGCTATGGGCGTGGCTTCGGTGGGCGGGGCCCTTGACCCCGCCTAGGAAAGGCCGGGCTTAAAAAAAAAAAAAAAATGCGAGTGCGGTGGCAGAGGTGAACCTGCTTCTTATAGGAGAGAAGGGCTGGGGTCTGAGCAATGGCTGCGTTTGTTGGACTCCCAATCCATCTCTTAAGGGTAGAAGGGGCGCATAGTTCACAGCTGCTCAGGAGAGAATCTGTGTGTCCTAGTGGAGCCAGGCTTCCTGCCTGCCCACACTACGCGCCCCCGGAACTCTGGTTCCCCTCACGAGCGTGGCGCCTTTCCGTTGCTGCAGGCCCAGCCCACGCTTTTGCGCTTCCCACGCATATCCTTTTTCTGACTTTCTGCGGCAATGCTGTCATTCGGCTAATGGATCGCCCACCCACGCAGGTCACCTTGGTCCACGGTCTTCGGGATCTTTCCAGGAGGTTTTCGAATAGATTAAGCCAGTCACTCCTACTGCTTACCTCTGCAGGACCGGCATCCCTAGTGCCCTGCAGTGGGATTTTTCGCTGAGCTGCAGTAACTGAAGAACACTGGCTTTCTCTGCTAAACTTGTCCTCCACCATGGCACAGGCAGGCAGAGTCCTTGGTCAGGACAGACTGCCTGCAAGGCTACCAGGATTTCTTTGGAACACTAAAACTTCCCTCTCCCACTGGCTAGAGTCCATATGATTCCCCTGGGGTCCAGAGTGGAAAGGCCTACAAACAGTAATTCCTAACTCCGTGCTCTAATTCCCCCAAATTCCTTTCCGATACCCGCCCCTCAACAACAACAACCTATCCTGTGGGTTTTGCTGATCTCTTGCACCAGCACCATTGCCAGATGAACCCCTGGCAACCAAGCCACTGCCCTTGGCATCTGCTAACATGTTTCATTGTCTATTTCCTCAGCTCTTTCATAAAGAAAAAAGTATGCTTCTTGTGCACCCTAACTCTTGCAGACCTCTCCTAAGAAAGCCCAGAGCCCCAGTTTGATTCCAGCAAGAGACCCTAGGCTGTAGGGCCAAAGAGCCACTGGAGGGGAAGTGGCGAGCTCAAATCTTCCCCAGTTTTGATGGAGTTGGACACAGGCTCTGGTTGGGAAAAGGCTTCCATAAATACAGTAATTTAAAAAGTCACATGATCAGTGCTGGGCTGGTAGGCAGGAGCTCTGCTTTGCAGTTAAATAGGAATGTGGCTGAAGACTGCTGCCATAATCAATGCCTACATCCGGCTGTCACAGCGTGTTCATAAAGGAAGGTTATGAGAGCTATAAAACCAGGCAGATTGGGTGGGTAATTGTCCTGCTGAGCTCTGCTAAAGGAGAAATTGCATTGGCATCTCATATATTTCGCTTTCTTTCCTTCCAAACACACAAAGTGGAGAGGGCAGAGCTACTCTGAAGGTTCATGAAAAGGAAAGATGAGGGTGTATGTGTGTGTGAATGTGCATGTGTGCTTTCAAAGAAGAGACAAGAAGTAACTGAGGACAGGGAGCTATGCAGACCTTTGGGGAGAGAGGGACTAATAACCTGGTGATGATTGGATTCAGATTAGGCCAGGTAGAAGGCAGAATTTGTGTGGAAGGCCAGCCATTATAAATAAGGCTGTGAGGTGAGCCATATTTTCATGTCCTGTTGAACATGTGGTCAACTTTTTGGCCTATAGGTCTTTCAGTGACCTTTGGAGAAAAACCAAGATGATTTCTTTTGTTCCCAACTTAAAAATCCTTCATAGTCAGGCCGGGTGCAGTGGCTCACGCCTGCAATCCCAGCACTTTGGAAGGCCGAGGTGGGCGGATCATGAGGTCAGGAGATTGAGACCATCCTGCCTAACATGGTGAAAACCCGCCTCCACTAAAAATACAAAAAAAAAAAAAAAATTAGCCGGGCGTGGTAGTGGGTGCCTGTAGTCCCAGCTGCTCGGGAGGCTGAGGCAGGAGAATGGCGTGAGGTTGCAGTGAGCCGAGATTGTGCCAATGCACTCCAGCCTGGGTGACAGAGCGAGACTCCGTCTCAAAAAAAAAAAAAAAAAATCCTTCATAGTCAACCTTTTTGACTTCCATCCTTTTAAATTTTGGATTAATTTTGGTGGGTTGATTTATGTTTTTTTTTACCTGTAATATCAACTATTTTTCTACTTTTTTGTTTCCTCTTCTTCCAAAGACAAAATTGTTGAGAATAATAATAAAACATAAAAGGGAACATGTCTGGAAAAAGAAAAATGCAGCTAGATGGAAAGTAAAGGACTAGGGGAAGTCCATTAGCTCTAAGTTTGACCTCATAACTTAAAGCTGACCTCAAGTTATACCAGGTCCCCAAGCTTCTTGCCTGCCTTTCCCTTTCTCCTACATCTCCTCTCATTCCTGCTTCCCTCCTTAATGACTTCTGCCTCTGTGACTACTCTTTTTCTCTCTCCCTAGACAGGAACCACCAGTAGAGAAATATCTAGTTGTTTGTTCAGTTAGTCAGTCACTCAGTCAATTGACATTTACGAAGCATCTATCATGTGCCAGACTCTGTTCAGATGCTACAGACAAAGTCAGAATAATAGAGATTCCTGCCTGCCTAAAGCTTACAGTCTAGTGGAGAAGAATGACAAGTACTATATGTATTCTTGGTCACATGTCAGGGGGCAGCTAACATAGTCTAAGGGGTCAGGAAGAGTACTAGAGAGAGCTGTATTCTCTCTGACTGATCCTAAGGGCTTAGAGTAGAGGAGGGACCCCTCCTCCATCTGTGTACTCCTCTTGCTGCTATGTACTAGCTACCCAATTAGAGTGGGGCTCTTCAGTTGTCCTTGTTATTTCTCAAAAGCATAGTTGGATTGGCAAGGATGTGGAGAAATTGGAACCCTCATACACTGTTGGTGGGAATGTAAAATGGTGGTGCATCTGCTTTGGAAAACCGTCTGGCAGTTCCTCAAATGATTAAACATAGAGTTACTTTATGACTCAGCAATTCCAGTCCTAGGTATGCACCCAAGAGCAAATAAAGCCTGTCACACAAAAGCCTATACAGAAATGTTTATAGCACCATTATTCATAATAGCCCCCCAAAACCAAATGTTCATTACTTGATGAATGGAAAAAAAACAGTGGCATATCCACACAATGGACTATTACTCAGCCCTAAAAGGGAATGAATCCTGTAATCCCAGCACTTTGAAGACGCTAAGACAAGAGGATTGCTTGAGCCCAGGAGTTCAAGACCAGCCTGGGTAACATAAAGATGGGACCCCATCTCTACAAAAAATAAAAAAAAAATAGGTGGGCATGGTGATACACAACTGTAGTCCCAGCTATTTAGGAGGATAAGGTGAGAGGATTGCTTAAGCCTGGGAGGTTGAGGCTGCAGTGAGCTGTGATCATGCCAGTGGGCTTGGTGATACCAACTGTAGTCCAGCTATTTAGGAGGATAAGGTGAGAGGATTGCTTAAGCCTGGGAGGTTGAGGCTGCAGTGAGCTGTTGATCATGCCATTGCACTCCAGCCTGAGTGACAGTGAAACTCTGTCTCAAAAAAAAAAAAAAAAAAAAAGAAGAAAGAGGTTGCACATGGTGGCTCACACCTGTAATCCAGCACTTTGGGAGGCCAAGGTGGGGGGATCACTTGAGGTCAGGAGTTTGAGACCAGCATGGTGAAACCCCATCTCTACTAAAAATCCAAAAAATTAGCTGGGTGTGGTGGCTTGAGCCTATATTCCCAGCTACTTGGAGCTAAGAGCAGGAGAACTGCTTGAGCCAGGGAGGCGGAGGTTGCAGTGAGCGGAGATGGAGCCGCTGCACTTCAGCCTGGCAACAGGGCAAGACTCTGTCTCAAGAAAAAAGAAAAAAAAATGAATCACGTACTGATTCATGCTACAACATAGAATGGACCTTGAAAACATTAAGATAAGGCTGGGCACGGTGGCTAGCCCTGTAATCGCGGCAGGCACTTTGGAAGGCCCGAGGCGGGCCAGATCACTGAGGTCAGGAAGATTGAGACCCCGATCCGCTGGCTTAAGCATGGTGAAACCCGTCTCCCTACTAAAAAATAGAAAACCCAGCTAGCCCAGGGCATCGGTGTCGGGCACCTGTAGTCCCAGTTACTCGGAGGCTGAGGCCCAGGCAGAATGGTGTGAACGCTGCCGGTAAGCGGCGGAGCCTTGCAGTGAGCCGACATCATGCCACTGTACTCCGCAGGCCTGGCCCCAACAGAAGTGAGACTTCCATCTGCAAAAAAAAAAAAAAAAAGAGAAAACCGGAAGAAAAACATTAAAGATAGAAGAAGCTGGTCAGGCAAATATCACATATTGTTTGATCCCATTCATATGAAAGGTTCCAGAATAGGAAAATCTGCAGAAGAGTAGAAGGAAATCTGAGAGAAAGC